AGATAGATAGATAGATAGATAGATAGATAGATAGATAGATAGATAGATAGATAGATAGATAGATAGATACCGGTAGTAGGTAGGTGGGTGAGTGGGTGAATGAATGAATGGTTGGTTGGTAGGTAGATAGACAGACAGATGGGTAGGTAAGTAGGTAGGCAGGCAGGCAGGCAGGCAGGCAGATGATAGATACCAATAGTAGGTAGATGGGTGGGTGGGTGGTAGGTAGATATACATAGATGATATGGTAGATGATTGATATGTAGGTGGGTGGATGGCTGGATGCATGGATGGTCAGTAGGTAGATATACATAGATGATAGACAGGTAGATAGGTACTGTGGTGGCACAATGGTTATAATGTGGTACTGCAGGCTGAGCCTGCCCCCAGCCAAGAGTTCAATTCTAACCAGCTCAAGATTGACTCAACCTTCTATTGGTTGGCAAAATGAGGACCCTCTGTAAACCACTCAGAGAGGGCTGTAAAGCACTGTGAAGCGACATATAAGTCTAAATGCCATTGCTATTGAAGGAAAAGGCCCCCTGGGTTACCAGGGTCAAAAAGGTGGGGCCAAAATCCTTGCCCCTACCAACCCAACTCAAAAGTTAGGATGAGAGTATGTGGTTTGTGACACCTAACTCAGGACGAGCCGAGATTCTCAACCAGCTTTTACCTCCATAGGGTTAACCGTGATGGTCAAGGCAGAGTCGTCCCAGTCCATCTCATTCTCCTTCCCGGATTCCTGGTCCCGCATCGTCCGCTGGTGGGCCGCTCGGATCCGGAAGACTCCAAGGATGATCATGAAAACCAGGAAGCTGACGCACACCACAATCACCACCGTGGCGGTACTGGGAACCACTGGGGAAGAGCGTGTTCAGAGGAGGGAAGGAGTTAGGTGTGAAGAGAAGGCAGGAAATGCAGCAATGCATTTTTTTTAACCTGTTCTGGGTGGGTGGGTGGGGGAGGAGTTTGGGGCAACTGATCTAGGGAAACAGAATCTGCGTGTGATGTGGTCCGTCGGGAGCCTGTGGAGACAGCAGCAGCAGTCGGACAGTGGGGAGGAACATGGGCCAATCCGGGAGTCTGGGGAGGACTCGGACTCGGGTCCTGCATCCGATACAGAGATGGGGCCAGGACCACCTGGGAGTTATGTGCGGATACTGGAGCCTCCAAAATCTGGCAGCAGCGAGGCAGAGGAACAAGGGGAGCCTGTTCCCAATGCGCGTATGCACAGAGCTGCTAAAAGGCGAGAGTAGCTGAAACAAAAGGGGCGACTCGGGAGTAAGGCTCGGAGGTGATTGACCCTCCCATACAACATAAAGGAGAAGCAAAGGGACAGGAATCTTTGCCGGAAGCAACTTTGTTCGTACTGGTTGGTTTGAAACCTGAAGCTCGGTGTTGAATTTGAGTTCCGTTTTGGCCTTGTATTACTAATTGGACATTTAGTCGTTGGCGGCATTTCAAGGAAGGTAAAGGTACGTGCTGATCAGACTTATCCTGAAGGACTTTGGCAGACTTCCAAGGGACTATTTACAAACTTTTTGAGACTCATTATGGGTTGTGAATGACTCAAATCCACAGTCGTTGAAATAAAGAAAACAGGGTTTGGGGACATGTGTGTTTGTTAGTGTCTCCATAAACCTTGGGCAGAACAGTGTGGATGTAAGTGGGAGAAGTAGAACGGGCTAACTCATATAGCGGGGATCTACCATATTTCCCTGAAAATAAGCCCTAGCAGGATTTTCAGGGTGCTCATAATATAAGCCCTACCCTAAACATAATTAATATAAGACCTGGTCTTTATTTTTGGGAAAATACGGCAGTTCCCAGCTTGCATATATTCATGCAGCGCTTCTGCAGAACTCCAGAAACTCGACAAAAATGACCCCCTTGCCTCGAGTACGTTTCTAATTGCTACCCCTTCTCGAGAGCTGGAAGATCCCAAGACAGGCAGGGAGAAAAAAACAAATGTAATTTGCAGCGGTCCACTGTCTATATATTTAGATTTGCCAACATTTTTATGACATGGGGGCAACAAACAGGAGACTGACGTCTAAAGTTTGGTGATGGGACGTCCCTGGATATTCTGCTTTTTTTCTGTTCAATGTTCTCAATAGGCATGTTTCAGAAAGCTAGGGAGCTGTTCCTGATCCCAGCAGGAAGGCCTAAATTTTAGCATCTTTCAAGTGCGGCTCACATGCAATTTAGTTTTAATGCGGTGTTTTCCAAACTTGGCAACTTTTAAGACGTGTGGACTTCAACTTCCAGAATTCCCTTTAGCCAACGTGGCGGGTTGCAGAATCGTGAGAGTTGACGTCCACACCTCTGAAAGCGACCTTGGTTGAGAAATCCTGGTTTAATGGCATCTCTCCAAAAACTGGGGAGCCGTTGGAAATGGCAACGGGGAGATTTAAGGAAAGGGATGCGTGTTCCTTACCAGAAAACCCTGCATGAGGGTTTGCGAGGTTGTGGCCAGAGAGGTCAACGAAGGAATGATGGACAGGCTGCACAAACTGGGGCTGCTGGGCAGCAATGTGGCTGGCGTGTTCCATGACGTTAGCGGTGTGGATGACGTTCACCTGGCAGATACAAGATTAGAGAAAGGGGAACACAAGAGTTTGAGGAAACCAGCAGCAGAAACCTGGTGTGTGTGTGTGTGTGTGTGTGCGCACGCATGTACCTTACTGACTGATCTATATTTCCTGAACGGAGAGTCCTCTTCCCCAAATCCCCCCAATCTGCAGAACTATTGCTAAGACTCCTGGGAGTTGAAGTCCCCCATCTGGAAGATGCCCAGTTGGGGAAACGCAGCTCTATGCCTACAATTCTTAAATAGATTGCAGAGGTAGTCCTCAATTGACTCCAGAATTTATGCCGCTAAGGGAGACATTGATGCTAAGTGTGTTTTGCCCCATTTAGCACATGTTTCTTGACACCTTGGTTAAGCGAATCACTGCAGCTGCTAAATTAGTCCCAAGGTTGTTAACTGAATCTGGCTTTCCCAGATGGACTTCGCTTGCCAGAAAGTCACTAAAGGGGATCTCGTGAACCAGGGATGCTGCGACCGTCATAAATATGAACCAGTGGTCAAGCACCTGAATGTAAATCAGGGGACCACAGGGATGCTGCGATGGCCATCAGGGTTAAAAACGGTCATCAGTCACTTTTTTTGGGTGGACTCCTTCACTTACTTCCACCTTAAATTCATTGCTAACGTAGCGTCCGTTGAGCTCTGAGCACACCAGCTTGAACTTCCGGTCAAAGAGCGAGACGGCGTGCCAGTTACGGTAGCGGATCAAGTGCAAAACTTCCTCGTAGCTGGCCATGGTGTCCACCCCTGCGGAGAAGCAAAACATGGGTGAGCTAAAAAAAACCCGATGCTGTTTTGGAGGCCGTGTTCGGCCAAACCCCCAGGGATGGGCTTCAAAATTTTTTAGCAAAAGGTTCTCTGCCTGGCTGCTGGGTGGACGTGGCCTAGTTGGCCTCCTGCACCATGGAGGGGGGGAGAGGAGCATTTTTGCCCTCCCGGACTCCCGAGGCTTTCCTGGAGCCTCCGAGAGGGTGAAAATGGCCTCCCTGGGCTCCGGAGGCTCTCTGGAAGCTGGAAAATTCCCAAACTTCTGGGAGGCTCCAGCTCTGAGCCTCCGTGCACGCCCTACACTTACCTGCATCCAAAACAGGCAGCATGGGGACTTTTGGGAGGGCTGGGTGGGGCCAGCCAAGAGTGGGAATTTGGGGGCTTCTCCGAACTGCACAGAATCTTAACTAGGGGCTCTCCCAAATCCCTGCGCATCTCCGGCAGCCCGCCCCTGAAAACCCCATTGCCACAGATTGCAAGTTACGATTAAGGAGCTAGAGCAGGGGTGTCAAACTCAAGGCCCGGGGGCCAGACCCGGCCTATGGGATGTTTAGATCTGGTCCTGGAAACAGAGGGGGGCAGGCCCGCGGGGCTTCTACCAGGGACAACGGAGCTACGTTTTCGCTGGCGGAGGGGGCCACCGCAGCCGAAAATGGAACTTGGGAGCCCGTTTTCGCTGGCACTCAAGCGATCACAGGCGCCCCTGACACGAGTGACGTCAAGCTGGCCTCCCGCCGCCCCCCCGCCTCCCGAGGCCAAACATAACCCTGAGGTGACCCTCAATGATCTTGAGTTTGACCCCCTTTAGGTAGAGTGTCCTGGAAAGATAGCTGTGGCTTAGTGCAGCATGTAAACCTTCTCCAGGGGGTGAAAGGACAAAGAGGGCCGTACCAGTAAGGATGAGGCCGAGGCTTGAGCTGCTCATTTCCATGCCTTTCTGTTGCAGCCGTACCAAGTCGACCTCCAGGCTCTCTTGGTCCCGGTTCAGTTCCTCCCCCAAGACCGAGACCTCGCAGGTATCCAAATTATGCATGATCTCTTCGGACACCAAGGATTCTTGGACTGGGAAGGAGAAGAAAGGGGGAAAACTGATCAGGAAGAAGGAAACACGAAATGGCTTGTAGGTTTTGGAGAGACATCACTGCCCCGTTCATCGAGTGGTTTCCCCAACTGGAATCTTTCCCTGTAAAATCTGTTGCCTTCGATGGATGCTGGATGTTTTTCTCTGTTCATCTATCCTGCCCCGATTCCCAAATACGCAAAAATAAATATATATATTTATCTGCAGCCTGCCTTTATTACTTGTACAAATTAGGTAGCAAAGGTATCCAACACCTGTCCCTCTTCCTGTTTTCTTCCACTACAACCACTCTGTGAGGTGGGTTGGGCTGAGAGGGAGGGACTAGCCCAAAGTCACCCAGCTGGCTTTCTCTTTCTTTTTCTTTCTTTCTTTCTTTCTTTCTTTCTTTCTTTCTTTCTTTCTTTCTTTCTTTCTTTTTCTTTCCTTTCTTTCTTTTCTTTCTTTCTTTCCTTCTTTCTCTCTCTTTTCTTTCTTCTTTCTTTCTTTCTTTCTTTCTCTTTCTTTCTTTCCTTCCTTCTTTCTTTCCTTCCTTCCTTCTTTCTTTCTTTCCTTCCTTCTTTCTTTGTTTCTTATCTTTCCTTTTTTATTTTTTCTCTTTCTTTCTTTCTTTCTTTCTTTCTTTCTTTCTTTCTTTCTTTCTTTCTTCTTTCTTTTTCTTTCTTTCTCTTTCTTCCTTTTATTTCCCTCTCTCTCTTCTCATTCTTTCATTCCTTCCATTAAACTACCCACTTCCCTCAAACCTTGCTGAATCTGACCCTGCATCCACTCGCCCTTGAATTTCAGGGCAGAATAAAGAGAGACACCCCAAAAAAATAAAGCTCAGCCGAAGAGAAAACATTCCAAAAATTAACTTCCGCTTCCCTTTGATGGAGAAGAGGCTGCTTTGCTCCATTCTGGAGACAAGCCATTGCTCGAGAAAGGAACAGAGGGCTGTCTAGTCTTTCCTTTCCTCCTCCGTCCCTGTGTCTCACCTGTAGGGTCTTCCTCCCCCTCTCCTTCGGGCTCCACCTCCCGCGTGATGGTGCTGATGATCCGAAGCTCGGGGAAGAGAGACACGCCCTCGGGGCTCTCAAACTCCAAAGCCGAACGGGCAAAGTGGTTGATGCCGCTCAGGCTGATTTTCGGCTCCTCGGGCTGCAGGACCATGATGTAACCCTCCACGAGCGGAATGGAGATGCAGGCTTCGTTGTGGGCGCACCTGGGAAGGTAAGGCGTCCTGGCCATCAGAAGGGGGAGGGGGGGTTTCCACGAGAGAGTACGCGCAGAGCTTGGGTCGAACACCAGACCGGTGTTTTTCAACCTAGGTAACTTTAAGGCAGGTGGACTTCAACTCCCAGAATTCCACAGCCAGCATGTTGCCCAGGTTGACAAAAGCGTGCTAGATCTTCAACACCTTCAACCTTATCCTCCAATCCTGACCTTGGTTATTATTATTACTCTTCACATTATCAAATCATCTTCTTTTAATGAACCCATAATCCCTTGCGGGGTGGAGTCTGGGCATCTGAATGGAGCTGAGTGTTTACTGGCCAGATGCCCTTCCTGTCACCAATGCGGAGTTTTTTCCCCCCCCAACAGATATATTCTCATTGTGCCCAGAGAAAGAAATATCTGCCTCTACCTAGGATCGAACTCACAGCCTCCCAATCATGAGGCGGGAGCTCCACCTCTAGGCCATTTTCTTCACAATATCAAATAATCCCGCCACGCTATTTATATTAATGCCAGCACATCAAATTTGTATTTTCAGTTCTGCAGGGAGAAGTGCCATCACGCCTATTCTGTAAAAATCAGAGGCATATGGACTCCTCCTGACAGCCCTTAGGAGCTCAGCCTGCACCAACCACTCCAACTGCCGGCTGCCTGAAATTTCACAGTTCAAATCCCATCAGGTTCAAGGTTGACTCAGCCTTCCGTCCTTCCGAGGTGGGTCAAATGAGGACCCAGATCATTGGGGGCAAGAGGCTGACTCTGTAAACCGCTTAGAGAGGGCTGTAAAAAGCACTGTGAAGTGGTATATAAGTCTAAGTGCTATTGCTATCTTCCTTCCTTCCTTCTTCCCAGTGGTTAGAATGCAGTATTGCAGGCTAACTCTGCCCACTGCCAGCAGTTCGATCCTGACCGACTGGCTCAAGGTTGAACTCAGCCTTCCGTCCTTCCGAGGTGGGTAAAACGAGGACCCAGATCGTTGGGGGCAAGAGGCTGACTCTGTAAACCGCTTAGAGAGGGCTGTCAAAGCACTGTGAAGCAGTATATAAATCTAAGTGCTATTTTCTATTTCCTATCCTATCCTACCCTACCCCAAACCTCCGGTCAGATTCTTCCCAGAACTAACAGCCCCACTCTCAAAGGTGAGAACGAGGCCAAAACATCCTGCCCTATAATAACAACCAAGCACCACCACCACCACCCAAGTCAAACCCTGGTTGCGTCTCCTCTTCTCCACCCGCCACCAAGACTCACTTCACCGTGCTTGTGATTTTGATCCGCCGGATGCCGGGGGTGGGGAACTGACGCGAGTTGACGTATGAGATGCGTTGCATGGTTTTGTCGAACCTCTCGAGGTCATCTCCTTCTAAACTCAGGGCTGACTGGCTGGGGTTCATGTGGATCTGAAATGAGGGTAAGAGAAAGCACAGTGTTCTGACCCAAACCCTTGTCCAATAAAAGAAACACGGACCAAAAGGAACAGCAACCTTTTAAATGATTCTTACGAATCCCTGGTAAAAAGGCTGCTGCAAACTAATTTACCTTTGATAAGCACGAGCCTCGCCAAAACTGTGCAAGGCTGCCAAGAATAACAAATATGGTTACCTAGAAATATTTTACAACACAACTACAAATACCCAACTAAGATAGTGCAATGTCCATGAGGCTGGAGTTTCAAAACGTCTTTGCTTCCTGCAAAGAGCGGTCACTTCACAGCTTACCTTGCAGCCTTACTCCCCAGTCGCCCGTGCTGCTGCAACTGCTCTTTCCTGCGAGCAGCCCTGTGCGCAGGCACATTGGGCACAGGCTCCTCGGGAACCTCCTCATCAATTAAAATGTGCTTTTTAATCTCTGGATACAACTCTTCTACATTTTAGCTGCGGAGGCTCTGGGGTGTCTGCCTGACCTGCTTGGCATCCAACCAAGGATAATGGCAACCCTCTTGAGCGCATATCAGGGAAACCTCAAGACTTTCTGTATGCAACACTATCACGTACTGACTATCTGTACAGTTGAGCTTTGAATTTGTAAATAATTTCATATTTGCTCATCGAGGAGGCAATTGTAAAGTGCTTCCCCCCCACACACACATTTGCGGTAGGCTAAATAAATAAACAGCAAGGCTGCTAAAACAGGAGGTTTTCAGTAGCGTGTTTTTCTCTTTATGTTAAAGAGGCGAGAAATATCTTAAACCTGAACCATTTGCAGGCCTTCGCTTGGCCCAGAGACGCTGGGAGTTGCAGCCCAAGCAGCCTGGAGGCCGAAGGGGGTTCTCTTTGCCTTTGCAAAGGACCACAATTGGGCCCCTCCCGTAGCAGCATTCTGAAAGTACCTTCAGGCCCTTCGCAGCGCCGTCTGTGGTGGGCAGGTCCAGGCCTTCCTTGCAGGTATACAGACAATCGATCACTTTCTTGCTTTCCAGTTTCCCTGAGCGGATGGTCAAGCCAGCCAGGTTGCCGCGGAAGAACTGAGCCATCCGCTGGTCGCCACCTTGAAGAAGGAAGGAAGGAAGCAAAAGCAGCCCTATTGAGTCCTGGCGCTCGGCAGCCTCTAGGGCCTGGGTGCCACTCGCGCACCATGCTCGGCTTTGCTTTCCGACGGCATGCAGTTAGTGAGTTGCCTGTCCCGGAGGTCGACGCGCAGTTATGCTCAAGCGCGATGAGGTTGGGAGGAATAGAAAATAAAAATGGATGCTCGTTCATGCAGTGAAGGGCTGGGATGGGATGAGCGAGCTTTGTTGTGGCACCAAGGGGACTTTAAAAGGACACCTGTCCAGGGGCCTTTATTTTGAGACAGCTTGCCTAAAACAGGACAGATAATTGCAACCAGTGGAAATCAAAAGGTCCAGGATGAAGACAGCAGTGAAAAGGTTTGCTTGAATTGATAGGATGGGTTCGTCAGAAAGGCCAAACGGTGAGGTTTGCCTCTGGTTTGAAGGGGCGAAAAAAAAATAATACATTTTCCGTCTTGTGCACACCTCTACAATTTATCCCGTTCTCTTTTCTCTTTATGGATCGGTGAGATCCTTCTTTTCCTCCAAGGAAGCTTCCTTAGGAGCCGCCTTCCCTAGGCCTCCCCGAGGATGAGCTTGTGACAAGAGATCAGGCTAAGGTTGGGCCAGCGACTTTCCATGGCTGAAGGATCCCTCGCTGGACAGGAAAGGAATTGCAGAGACGTTGCTTTGGGATGGCTGTTTAATTCTGAGGAAGCCAACTAGGGGCCAATGAGAAGCCACTGTCCATGATAGGTCCCACCCTGCAGTAGCCACCATCCACTAAGACCATGACTCAGCCTTCCGTCTTTCCGAGGTCAGTAAAATGAGGACCCAGATTGTTGGGGGCAAAAGGCTGACTCTGTAATCTGCTTAGACAGGGCTGGAAAGCAGTGTGAAGTAGTATATAAGTCTAAGTGCTATTGCTATTTTCCTTTTTTCCTTTTTTCCTTTTTTCCTTCCTTCCTTCCTTCCTTCCTTCCTTCCTTCCTTCCTTCCTTCCTTCCTTCCTTCCTTCCTTCCTTCCTTCCTTCCCTCCCTCCCTCCCTCCCTCCCTCCCTCCCTTCTTTCCTAGTGGTTAGAATGCAGTATTGCAGGCTGATTCTGCCCACTGCCAGGAGTTTGATCCTAACCAACTGGCTGAAGGTTGACTCAACATTCCATCCTTCTGAGGTGGGTAAAATGAGGACCCAGATTGCTGATAGGCTGACTCTGTAAACACTTAAGAGAGGACTAAAAAACACTGTGAAGCGGTATATAAGTCTAAGCGCTAGTTCATTTCAAGGCCATCTTCATGGCTTACTGACTTGCACATGAACGCATGATGGGGGGGGGTTATTGTTGAAAGAGGGAAGGGGAGGAGAAACCAAAGAGGAAGTGAATATATACATAAGAAAAGTGCAATGAAAAAATAATAATACAAGCTCGGCAATGTGATTAGGTTTCCCTCCACTGGCCGCAGTAATGCAATGCCGGCCGGTCATGCTATGTGTGATGAAGCCATAAGCTTGCCTTGGACATGAAAGCATTAAAAAGAAAAAAAAATTAAGACTGCCAGCAACCTGCAGGATTCTCGGTCGCTTGGTTGGTGTCATTCTCATTTCCCGCATATTCTGTGGAGAAGCAAGAAACAGGGAGAAGAAAAAAACAGGAACGGAGGGGTTAGGTAGGGCCTGGATATTTTAACCTGTCGCAGTTCAAGGGCTGGATGGGTCACCCACCTGGATTTCCAGTCTGTTAAGATAAGGTAGTGGGACGCAGAAGAAGGGCCTTCTTTGTGCTGGCTCTCTCTCTCTCTCTGGAACATTATCCCTGCAGAAATTAGACTGGCCCCCACTTTGACAGTCTTTTGGAAGGCCCTGAAGACATGGATCTGCCAGTGGACTTGGGGGAACCCAGAGTGGGATGGAGCCCATTAAAGGGATTATTTAATAGTGTGCTGTCGCCAAAGGTGGGAGGTCACTGTTTTTTTTTTATAATATAATATTTATAGCATTTTTATAATATTGTGTTTGTATTGGTTGTGAGTCGCGAGTTGCCACGAGAGAGTAGGCGGCTCTTATCAATTTTCTAAATGTATCAAATAAAAACAGCTAAGCAAAGTTTGCAGTGCCCTTGTGGGGCGATTCTCCAGCCCCTGATCTAATTCCGAAGGACCAGCCAGAAAGCGTCTAAACCCAAAGATGAATTTGGAGCCATTTTTTCCCTCTGTGGTGCGTTGCAGGAAGAGAGGAAGCGAGAAAGGGAGATTTTCTTCTCCGGCTGCGTTCCTCTTTCTACTAAAGTTTAATGGAGCGCTAAACCTAATCCCCCTATTGACTTAACACAATTCAATTACGGTTATCAAATTCCTGCGTGAGGCTCTTGATGGCACCTCGCACTCAACAGCAATGAATAGCGGGGGGATTACACAAAAGGACGTTTTTCTCCACGACAACCCGATTTTTTTTTAAAAAAGTCCTTAAAAGCAGTCCTTAAAAAACTGTGCCATTAGGGGATTTTTTTTTTTTTAAAGGAAGAATTACAGTGCAAAAATATTGGTGTAGGACTTGCTTTCTTAAAATTAATCCGAGCATCCATTTTCTGAGGATGCCAATGAGGGGAAAAGCCTTCGGTCGCCTTTGATGTCGTGACTCAGCCTTACAGAGTCTCCCTGAGGGGAAGGGCTGTTTTAACCTGCCTTGAATGTTAGTTAAATCATCGGGCTGCAGCATTTTTACGGCCCCCCTCCATAACAAACCGCCATCCCATGCAGCCTTAATTATCCTGGCAAATATCCAAATCAACCCCACTCGTAAAATCTATAGCTGGAAAGGCAGAGCCAGCAAAAACATTCTCCCAAGAGTTTCTGGTTTTATATCTATTTTGAGCTCCTGGCCCTGTTCAAGTTCTTCACTCCACGTTTTTCTTCACCAACAGCTCTCAAGATGACAACAAATTAAGTGTTTCTTTAGAATTGTTAAGGCAACTATCTGAGCTGGAGAGAAGCAGGAAAAGGGGTGCTTGTGTGTGACCTGATGTCGCATTCAATCCAAGCTACTCTTTTGAATTTCTTTGGTTCAAACAGCCTCGTTGCTCTTGCCACGGAGAGCTGATTGGGTGAGTTGAAGGCCATTTAACCCCCAAATGGGAGTCCGATCCACAAATAAGCCATCAAGATAAAACCTAGGAGGTTGCTTACCTTGCCAGCAAGCTCCGACTACTAGCTGTGATTCTATCTTGGAGGGATGGAGCGGATAATCCTCGGTCACCGGGAAGGGATCGAAGGAAATGCCGTCGACGTAAAGTGTGGCCGCCGGAAACTCTACGTTGAGGATGTAGTGGTGCCATTCCTGATCACAAACCTGGAAGGGGGGGGGGGAAACCAAGTGCTTAGAAAGACCAGCGGGAAGCAAACCTCCATTTTGTTATTCCCAAAGGATGGGACTCATTCCCAGCTTTACCTGTGAGAGATTCAGAGCTGTCAGGGCCAACTCGAAGCCAGGGAGGGGCATGATTGGAATGTATGGGTGGCTGGGGGTGGGATGGGGCGCAACTGAGGAATTCACGGGCACTGTCTGTGGCCTGGGAGAGAATCTCGACACCTCAAGGTCCAACGGTGAGAACCTTCTGATCGGAGCAGATTCTATCTCTAAACAAAGGGACTGCACTGGATTGGTGGACGATGGACAGTGGGTGGCCCAGGTGGGGAGAAAGGAGGATTTTAACTATGCGGCTTTCCCAGGAAAACTCCAGAACTGGCTTCACTTCTCCTGTGCCTGTATGGCTTTATCAGTAAAATTATACTCTTAGTAAAATAACATCCCAGGAGTTTTTCTTTTGCAGCATACGCCAACGGGACGGTTGACGTTAACTAGACCTTGACAGAAAAAGTGGGCAGTGGGACTGCAGGACAACGGAGCTGTAAGGGGGTCAACCCTTTGCCAGAGATGATCAAGAGAAGGCAGGACAGTGAGGGAAGATTTTAACGAGGTTGTACTCTGGATTTGATGGGACAGCAAAGATCATAATCTAATGTAGGGGGGTAGCAATTCAGGATCGGGCGCCTCCAGGTAGCACCGGCTTATACCCTTGATCGAGGGCCACCAATCTCATCTAGATGAACCAAACAGCCTCACTTACAGCCCCTTTAGGCCAGGGTGTCAAACCCAATTTCACTGAGGGCCGTATCAGGGCTGCGGATGACCTCAGGGGGGACCGGGGCAGGCGTGGCCGACTGGGTGGGTGTGGCCAGCTTGAATCTACTCCCCAAACTGCTGGCATGTTTCCTCTTCGCACTGGGTAGACCGGACCGAAGCCACGCGGACCGGCCCCTTACATTTTCCAGGGTGGCCCCCGTGGGCCGGATCCAACCACATCGTGGGGCGGGCCCCCGCTTTAGGCCATCCATTTTGGAAACCTGGAGTTTCTAACCAGGGAAGAGCTGTGGTTCAATATGGAGGGGAATCGACCGAGGGTTGCTGAAGCAATTTGTGCGCCCACCTGGTTCAACCTCCAGTGGAATTCGGCTGGCTTATAACTCTGCCCCTCGGAGGGGTCCTGGCGGAAGAGGAAGACCAACCGGCAGTTGTGCACGTAGAGGGAATAACGGTGACGGCTCATGTCTGCGGGAGAAGAACAGAATTAGCGGTCCATCTCCCTCCCCCTCAACACGTCCAGGGTAATGTGCATTGGATGCTTTTGGCAAATCGTAGGTCAGCCTTGGGGAGCCATGTTAGCAACCAGAAGCTTCCACGCTGCCACATTCCGGTGCCTGGGAAATTGGGAGGGGGGGGATTTCATAGAGTGGATGTAGTTAAGACAGTTAAGCATTTGTTCTTCTCAGTCAAGGTCAATGTCATCCTGCACCTGGACAAGGAGTGGGATGTCTCCAGTTGGGACGGTTGGGGATTGGACTATCTGATGGACTGATGGGTGGCAGGGGATGTTTTTTTTTTGTTTTTGTTTTGAATTACTGAGGGGAAAAAGCCGGAACTCTCAGCTTTGGGTTTTCCCCAGATGTGCCAGTATGACAACTTTAATAAAATGGAAAAATGCCTGTCTCGGGAGTTTTGGGAGTTGGAGTTTGTTTTCTGGAACACTGACATAAATAGGTCTTTCCCAGTGCTGCTGGTCACTACAACTGCTATTATTCATTCATTCATTTATTCATTCAATCCATCCATTTATATTGCCGCCTATTTGCCCATGGCGACTCGAGGCGGCTTACACAATGTAAAACCCATATTTAGAACAAAAAAATAAAAACCATAAAAACTAACAAAAAAGAATCAAATAAATGAGTAAAGTACAGTAGAACAACATTTGGGAAAACAAACAAAACAAAACAAATAAAAAACCAACTCCCACCCCCTCCGCCCCGATGACAGCAGATCACACGAGCCATTTGATGGGCTCCATCCCTCTCTGGGTTCCCCCGGCCCAGCTGGCAAAACCAGGTCTTTTGGGAAGAGTGTTAGTGAGGGGGCCATTCTAATCTCGGGGGGGGGGGGGGGGGGATGATGTTCCAGAGAGAAGGAGCCACCACGGAGAAGGCCCTATCTTCTGGGTCCCACCAGCTGTATGTCCCTCAAGGGTGGAACTCACAGCATGCCCTGCCTCCCTGCTCTGATGGGTCGGGTAGATGTGACTGGCAAGAGAGGTTCCCTCAGATCACCTGGTCCCAAGCCATGAAGGGCTTTAAAGGGGACGACCAGCACCTTGAATTGTACCCAGAAGCAAATCGGCAACCAATGCAGCTCCGGCAGGAGAGGCGACACATGTGCACGCCGGGGGTCTGCATAAAACCATGCGGGCTGCTGCATTTTGCACCAGCTGGAGCTTCTGGATGCTCTTCAAGGGCAGCCCCATGTAGAGCGTGTTGCAATAATCAAGATGGGAAGTGACCAGGGCGTAAGTGACTGTGAGTAAGGACCGCTGGTATCCATGACCCCTGGCTGGGGTTTATGGGAAGCGCACAACCTCTGGAAGAGGCCCGGCTTTCAGCAAATAACAGGAGGAGAACTTTTCCTCTGGCTCGGTGGGAGCCAGGCCAACTAGAGTTGAGCCAATAAACCACAGCTAAGTACCGCAGCATGCAAGCCCAGAGCATTGTTTTTCCAACACCCAAGAACAAGGACTCGAAATGTATTTCCAGACCCATAATTGGCCTATTAATGTCCAATAAACGTTAGCCGTGGGGTGCCGGAAGGCTGGGAGGCCTCCAGGAGAAGGAAAGGAAAGTTTTTAAGAGCCAGAAGTCAATGTGCGTGCGTGGTGGGAATACGCAGCTCCACGGAAGGCTTTCTCCGCAGGGAGACCTTGGCGGAACTCTAAATAAACCAGCATATGTTTCTAATCATTATCGGTTCCCAAGGTTTCCCTTTCTAAAGTAATTATTTCCAGCATCCCAAATATCCCCTCTTGTTAAGTGACAGGAAACACTTGATACGGCGCGAAACGGAAATGACAGTTCCCTCTCCAGAGCCACTTCCCTGGAATTGGGAGGAGAGAAACGTTCAGAATAAATACAACCTGCATGGTCACTATTTCCTGATCCTTCCGTAATTAAATTCATTTGGAGCCAATTAAAAACAAAGAGAGAGAGAGAGAGGGAGAGAGAGGAAGGGAAAGAGAGAGGGGGAGAGAAAGAGGGGAGAGAGAGAAAGAGAGAGAGGGAGGGAGAGAGGGAAGGAGGAGAGAAAGAGATGGAGGGAGAGAGGGGGAAAGAGAGAGGGGGAGAGAAAGGCAGGGAGAGGGAGGGAGAGAAAGAGAGAGAGGGAAATGACAGTTCCCTAAAAAAAAAAAAAAAAAAGGGGAGGAGAGAGAGATAAAGCCAACTCTTCCTCCCTTGTAGCTCAAAAAGCAAAGAATCTTGCAGTGATTTAACAAGGAACGTGGACTTGACTAACTGTCAGCCAGACACTTGATGAAACAGTAAACCTCCATCCCTCTTGCAGAAGCAAACGGTGTTCAAGGTTTTTGCTTTCTTGAAAGCAAGAGAGAGCTGGGGGGAGAGGGGGGGGGCTTTTGCAAAGTCACGTGACTCACCTCCTTTTCTTTGCAAAACCCATGAAATGACATCCCAGCTGGAATCCAGCCATTAACTGCTTGCAAGCGCCAAGGCACAAAACTGATTCGGAGAATATTAGAGACATGAGGGGAAGGGAAAGCAAAGGATCTTCTCTTGGGAGGAGGGAGGGAGGGAGGGGAAAAAAAACCCCACAATCAGATCTGCTCTGTTGTGTTTTCCAAATATGCCAAGGAATCAGATTGTGACGTCTGCTAGGGAGAAGCACAACCAGCACAAAACACCCAGACAGGCTGAAAACACCACACACCCACGGCTGGGTGTCAGCCTTCCAGCAAACCTCCCTTCCAGTCAGTCAAACACATCTCAAAAGTATTTATTAGACTAGCACTTGGCACATCGGTGGAATCCCAATTCTAAAAGTTTTTTAGGGCTTCCCACAAATTCCCAAACTACAAATCCATCCCCGCTTGGCTGTCATCACATCACATGGCCCCATCACGATCCGTCCAAAAGTAAGATCCTTATTTCATCCTGCACCATACTAAATGACCTTGAACTAACTGGAAGAGTTTTATTTTGTCTACTTAGGAGCTACTTAACTGAATTCACCCCCCTCCCACTTTGTGATGACCTAGGGTGGGATACAAAACAAACACAGTCACAGAAAACAGAGGAAGCCCCTTTTATTCCTTCACTTTGCTTCCAAACTCCGCGTATCTTTGAAGGAAGACCAAAAAAACTCCCACACAAACAGTTACACGAAGAAGGAAAAAAGCAAGACAACCCAGACAAGGGCTGGAGGATGTCCACAGATAACACACACTGGCAAGGACGCCAAACTCAAGAGAGGAACTATAAACTAGAGATATTTACACATTTTGTTTCCAGCTTTCGCCAGTACGCAGGTCCATCCTCTTATTCAGTTGTCACAGCTGCAGCCCACTGAAGGGGATCAAGGCCCTCTCCTCCCCCATAGACCACGTCTCTCCTTATCCTCTCCTCCCTGCGTGCCCTAGGATGGAGAGGGGATGGGCCTGGGTCCTCCTCTGTCTGCCCAGCCGGCCTCTGCCCTTCCCCAGCCTCCTCCACAACCTCCGGAGCCACACTTCCACTCCCTGTCGGCTGTTCCTCCTCTCCCTCAGAGTCAGTTTCCACCAGGGGCAGGACACACTTTCTCAGGCTATGTGGCAGCGTGGAATATGGCTTCCAAAGCTGACACTGGCTTAGTATGGAGAAACAATGCTATTTTTATGTCTAATGCCCTCCAACGGATGTTGTGGGTACAGTCTTTGGTGAACGACACAATCACCTCGAGGCTGAAAAGGCCAGGTGTGGGTGATCAACAAGCCAAACAGGTGCCCAGCACCCCCCCCCCCCCCCTTCTTTTACCCGTCTTGTCTGAATTGCAAAGGATGGTCTCCTTTTCTTTGGCCCCGGGGCCGTGCCTCATCCAGACGGAAATCACAAAGGGCTCCTTCATGCTGATGGTGACCACGCTCTCCGGCACCTTCACGGCTTGAGTGCCATTGAACTCGAAGACCTGGTCGCTCTCGTGGCCGTTGTCGGTTGGGAGGTTGAGGGTCCAGTTGGCTACGTTGCTTGGGGAAGGGAGCAGCTCCGCGGTGTCGGAGGAAGCACCTGCGAAGGGCCAGGATTTAAGATGTATAAAAAGAGAGGGCCGGAAAGCAGCAGGTCTGCTATCGGGTCGCTCTACCTTCTGGCAGGTTAAAAAATTCTCATTTTGGTGCTCATGTTCACGGGTGCTGCACTGAGAGAAAAGCTTTAGGTCTTAACCTGGCATCTTTGTTTAACTGGTCTGGGGGACATCACCGTGTTTCCCCCAAAATAAGACCCTGTCATATAATTTTTTGCCACCAAAAAAGGCACCAGGTCTTATTTTTTTTGGGGGGGGGGGATGTCATCCACTGACTAACCTCACTTGTATGCATCACCCCCGGCCTCCTTTTCGCTGTCAGAGGCAGAAGTAGAAGATCTTGAAGGCTGACACACACACACACACACACACACACACACACACACACACACACACAGACCCCAGAGAAGCCTGGACTCTTTCGGCTTACCACACAGCCTGTGAAGGGACTTCTCCGAGTAGGTGTCTCGGTCGCAGCCTTTCCCGATGTGGTTGGTCTCCAACTCGACTGTGGCCTGGACGGAAGTGATGGGCTCATCGCAGGTCTCCAGATGGATGTTGGGGAAGAGGGAAAGGGCCCCCGTCCCTGGTTCGTACTCCATTCTTTTGCTCCAGCCTGAAACCGTCAATAGAGACAGTTGCGGCCTTTTGGTGCCTGAAGCAAGCAAGCAAGCGAGGAGCTTGGGAAAGGGGGAAGCGGGGGGGGGGGGGGGGGGGGGGGAAGAGACTAACCCTGCCAGCCTGGTTTGCAGGTGGGTTTAATGCTGATCTTCACCAGGACGTCCTCGGCAGCCCTCTTCTTCCCACAGTCGTAGGCCGTGACGGTGAGTTTATACTGGTGCTCCTTGGTGAAGCTCAGCTTCTCGGTGTTCTTAATGTAACCTGGCAAAGGCAAGGAGACAGGTTTCAAAAACGGAGCAGGTCCTTAAGAGGTCACAAATAAAAAAATATCTGTTAGATTGATAGATCTTTATAGAAATGGCTTCTTTATGCTGTCAGGCAAAAAAGCAAAGTGGTCATTTGAGGTGAATGCCTTATTTTACTGTAACAGAGTCAGAAGTCAAAACTTCTTTCTCTTTCTTTCTTTCCTTCCTTTTTCTTATCTTTCTTCACTTCTCTTTTCCTTGTCCCTCCCCACTGCTTTCCTATTTATTTTGTATTATTTTATAACTCCATAAAAATGTTATTAAAAAAAAAAGAGGCCACAAATAAAAATGACTGGCATCCTTGCGTCGAGAGGAGGGAAATTATGATCATCTCTGCCCCCTAAGTGACGAGGTGATGGGTTCGAGGTCCTTCCCTCTGCTGCGAGGCCTGCCCACTTCTCCAGGGCAAGCCCAGCCCTCTGTCGTGGGGCCTTTGGACCACTCAAAACAGAGATCTGGGCCACTTCAAAGGGATTTGGGGCCACTATCCAAATGCAGGAGTCACGGTGGCGCAGCGGTTAGAGTGCGGTACTGCAGGCTACTTCTGCCGACTGCTGGCTGCCTGCAATTTGGCAGTTCGAATCTCACCAGGCTCAAGGTTGACTCAGCCTTCTATCCTTCCGAGGTGGGTAAAATGAGGACCCCAAATTGTTGCGGGCAACAGACCGACTCTGTCAACCGCTTAGAGAGGGCTGGAAAGCACTGGGAAGCGGTATATAAATCTAAGCGCTCTTGCTATCCGATAAAGGCTCTCCTCCGTGACAAGCCGGCCCCTGCCTTACCGTCTTTGTCGATTGCGAAGGGAACCTCCGGAGTGACAATCTCGTAACTGCAGATCTGGCTGAACTGCGGGGAGCAGTCGGCATCCACCGCCTCCACCTTTAGGATGTTGTCGTACCGCTTCCCCTCGATTGCCGTCGCTTTGTAGGACTTCTCCTTAAAGACGGGCGCATACTCGTTGACGTCGTTCACCTGGATGTGCACGGTGGCTCTGGGGAACAGAGAGTGGGGGGGGGGGGGCGGACTCTTTTATCAATGGGGAAATTCTGCACTGGGGACACACAGATACAAGTGTTAGCAGGGCCTGGGAAGTAAGAGAAGAGGTCAGCCACCGTAGTTCTTGGGACTGCAACTCCCATCACTTTGGCTGAGTTTCCTGTTGGTCTTCCATCCACTGACTCCCTGGAGTTAACTCTGCTTTACATCTGGATAATCGGCCAAAGGGAGCTGGGTACCAGCAGATGTTATGATGATGAAGAACAGGAGAAGATCCCTTGGAACCTAACCTGCCTTAAGAAAAGTGGAGATGGGGGCAGCTTGGGACCCAGCAGACCTGGTTAATCGACAGCGGTGTTTGCTTTGACATGTGTGGACTTCAACTCCCCTGGAGTGCTTCATGGCCACATACAAAGCTTTCTCTGCTCAGCTTCCCATCATGCTGCAGTGACAGCTCTGAATGTTTTGGTTTTTCAACTATAAGCAGCAGGCCTCATTAAGCCATCAATTATGGCAGTTAAAGAAAGGGTAGGGGCTCCATTTTAGCTGGAGCAGACAGCTTTTATTACACACTCACTCACTCACGTCTAAATTTACCAAGCTGCAGGCCAATTGTTTGATTTCTCCTGGGCAAGAATTTTAAAAGGTCAAAGCAGGGGAATGGGAGGGAGCTATAACAATCTGTTACCTTAGAGTCACCTCCTATTAGAGGAATATCTGACAGGAGATATTTAAGATTATTTCTCCGCTTTGCATCTGAAGTTCATTAGAAAAACACGGGATCTGTTCAGAAAGCATCAAGGGAACCCCACATCTCGGAAATTAAAACCTCATTTGGAGGGGGAGTCAAAATTAGGGTATATCAGGGTGTAGAGAGTCAGGATAATATACCAGGTATATCAGGGTATATGGAGTCAGGATATACCCTTGTCAGGGTATATCCTGACTCTAGCTGCAGATATTCCTTGCTTTCTGCCCTTTCAGCAAACCGAAAACAATAACGCATCACATCTTTCGCATTTCTTGAACCTTTCTGAGAAAGATGCTTGGATCAGCTTCCCTGACCTATGGAAACGATTTGAGATGTGTTAAGATTGCTGTGGATCAGCAAAAGCCAGAAGGATGCATGTCATCGGAAGAACTGTACCATAAAGCATAACGCAGACGAGGTTTTTTTTCCACACTCCAGGACGGAGGGAGAGGGGGAGAGAGAGAGAGGAGAGAGAGAGAGAGAGAGAGAGACAGAGAGACAGAGAGGGAGGGAGGGAGGGGGAGAGAGAGCTAAACACAGGCATTATATCTTTATGCCCCGAGAAAGAGAGGTGGAAAACACTCTAAAGGTTAATGTGCAAATTCTTAAAACAAGATTGCTTCTGTCCCATAAATCCTGCAAGAGAAATAACCTGCATATCTCTCAATGCCACTGACCTCCATCAGCCACTTGGGAGGGTGGAGGTTCAAGAGTTCCTTCCCTTTTACAAACCATGATCTCAAAAACTGCTGATTTCATTCCTCTGCCCCCGTTTCCCCCCCCCTCAAAAGTGGACATTCTGAGCACAGAGCAAACCCAGGAGAAGGAAACGTGATCCATGCTGTTCTTTACAAGAGCAAATATTCCCACACTCCCTTAGCTACGTTGGTGGGGGAAAAGCCCCTTTCTGATTTGCCAAGACGCAACCGTGGCATGCTCTCTTCCGTCCTCTAGTTCAAGGGCCTTCAAACTTGGCAAGTTTTAAGACGTGTGGACTTCAACTCCCAGAATTCCTGAGCTAACATGGACTGGAGGAGGAATTCTGGGAGCTGGAAGTCCGCAAGTTTTAAAACTGCAAAGTTTGAAGACCCTGGTCTAGTTTAATGAAAAGAAGGGACTAGGGGTGACAGGATAGCAGTCATCTAACATTTGAGGGGCTGCCGCAGAGAAGAGGCTGAGGGCAGGACAAGAAGCAGTAGAGGGAAACTAACCAAGGAGAGAAGCAACCTAGAACTAAGGAGAAATTAATCAGTGGAACAACCTGCCTCCAGAAGTTGTAAATGCTCCAACACTGGAAGTTTTTAAGAGGAGATTGGATAACCATTTGTCTGAAATGATATGGGGTTTCCAGCCTAGACAGAGGGTTGAAGACCTCCCAGGTCCCTTTCAACTCTGTTTTTCTCTTCTTCTCTTCTCTTCTCTTCTCTTCTCTTCTCTTCTCTTCTCTTCTCTTCTCTTCTCTTCTCTTCTCTTCTCTTCTCTTCTCTTCTCTCCTCTCCTCTCCTCTCCTCTCCTCCTAATTCTAATCCATTCCCATTTCCATTTCTATTCCTGTGGCTTTTGGGCAGGGACCCATACAGCCACGTCTCACGTGTATAAAAAAAAAAAGCAGAAACCAGATTCCATTGGGGAAAAAGCACAGGGTATTTCTAATGAGGGCTCCCTTTCTCCCACCCGCCCGTCACTTACTTGTGGGACTTCTTCATATTGGCTCTATCCGGTCCTGTTCCACAATCGTAGGCCTGGATGGTGAAGGTATATTCCTTCTGCAGTTCGCAGTCCAGTTTTTCTTTGGATCGGATCGTCCCTTCTCCGGTGGATTTATCCACCACCACCGCTTCAAAGGGGACATTTTGGCCGTGGATTTTAAACCCACAAATTTCACCTAAGTGGGGGCAAAGGCAGCTCGGATTAGTACGTTCGGGAAAAGCCAGGAAAAAGGAGGGGATCTCAAACAGGGACGGCGTGCATGAGGCGGCACACACACACACACACACACACATGTGGACTTGGCAACAGGTACCACTCAATCGTTTCATAGCAGCCAGAGTTTTGTGGTGGGGTTTTGGTGAGGGGTTTTGCCGACAAAGCGCAAGGAACTTGTGTTGGGCGTTCCGGGAACTTTTAGTTTGGATTTTTTTTTTTAAAAAAAAGAAAGGAACAAACAGGCAGACATCTGGCTTTCCAAGCAATTCATTGCTTCTGCATTCGTTCATGCGGGAGGACGTCGAACAAAAGAGAAGAGAAGAGGCATTTCACAGGAATACTTGAGAAACTCGGGAGAGCAAAAAACGTCAGAACGACAGCAGGGAACATCAATGGTCAAAGCCACTGGGAATCAAGGCTGGCTGGGCCTTCCTCGTGTTTTTTTGACCAGAGCAGTTAAAAAAACACTCCGTAATCCAGCCAAGGAAGGGAAAGGGGGAGGGAGGGGGAGGGAGGGGGTTTGAAGGTGTTGGGCAGGGGGAAGAGTTTCAATGGGTGCAGAAGATTCAGCACTGTCATTTACAAAAATTCTTGTCAAGGGATGAGAGAGGAGGGGAAGTCTTCCTGTGCAATGGTTTTTCGAAAGAAAGAAAGAAAGAAA